AAAAAAAAAAAAAAAAAAAAAAAAAAAAAAGGCCAAGCATCTATATATCGAGGCCGAGCAAAGCGATGAGGGACAGTCTCGCGAAGAGGCAGAGGTGGTTGCCGCTTCGCTTGCAGCAAAGGCCCAAGCTCGTGCCAACCCGATGCTGAGGATGGTATCCGACGAGGAGGAGGAAGAGGACTTCCAGGCGGCCGGCACCCTCAGTAAAATCATAGAGGACAATGTGGAAGTCATCAAAAAGGTGGCTTCCACATCCAAAAACCTCAAAGGAGGTTACGTGAGGGCCCTAAGGGACGCCGCCGAAGGAATAATCAAAACCACCAAGGCGCTGAAGAATAGGTGCACCACGGAAGAGACCCGGGGGTTGCAGGCGGCCAATTCCCGCCTCCAAGCAGAGGTTGCGCAGCTGCGCAAAGAGGTCGCTGAAATGAAACAGTGCCTCCTCGCGCAACATCAGAGACCGGAACCCGCGCCGCGCAATGATAACGAGGAGCTCGCCCGGACCATTCTGTGCCAGGTGGGCACAATGGTCAACGCGAGGTTTGAGGCGCTGGAGGATAGGATCCTCCCAGAAAAAATAAAAAAAAAAATGTATCCGCCCCCCGCTCGCGGCGGATAGCAGGCCTGAGCCGGCGGGCCGTCGCGCACCGAAAGCCGTTGGTCCGGAAAAGAGAGGACAAGCTCTGACCAAGGCCGCGGGCCAAGTCCTGAGCAGGCCCGCAGTGGGCGGGACGGCGGAGCCTTCAGCGGTCCCTCAGGACGCGACGGTGGAACCCAGAGGGCAGCAGCGGCCCACTGAGATGCCTTGGAGCGAGGTCGTGAGGAGAGGGCAAAGGGGGGGAAAGAAAAAGGCGAACCGAGGTCGGACCGACGCCAATGCCGAGAGGAGGAGAGCGCCCAGGACGCACACGATCCGAGAGCCGAGATCCGCCGCGGTGGTGGTGACTATCACGCCGGAGGGCACCGCCAAGGGTCTAACATACGACTCCGTGATAGCCGAGGCCAAGTCCAAGATCAGGCTCCAAGATGTCGGCATCACCACCGGGGTGCGCTTCCGGATTTGCGCCACGGGAGCTAGGCGCTTCGAGGTGATTGGCGAGGAAAATGGGCCCCAGGCTGACGCATTAGCGGCAAGGTTGTCCCAAATCTTCGATGGATCGCTGGTACGCATCACCAGGCCAGCCAAAACCACGGAGATCAAGGTCTCTGGTTTCGACGACTCGGCGACGGTGGAGGAGGTTTTGATCGCTGTAGCAGGAGCCGGGGGCTGTGTTAAAGAAAGTCTCCGCTGCACGGGATTGGTTCGGGACCGGTTTGGAGTGTACCATGCGTGGATTGAGTGCCCGGTAGCGACGGCCAAGCGGGTTGCCGCAGCGGGTCGCCTGGTGATGTCGTGGGCCTCGGCATCAGTCAGGCTGCTCGAACCTCGCCCGCTACGTTGGTACCGGTGCCTTCAAAAGGGTCACGTGAGGGTACAGTGCACCGCAGAGGTGGACAGAAGTAACCAGTGCTTCCGGTGCGGGGTCGACGGTCACAAATTTAGAGACTGCACGGCTAGACCGCACTGCACCATCTGCGCAGCTGCAAAAAGACCCGCGGACCACAGGCTAGGCGGCAAGGGCTGCTCGGCTCCAGCGCCCAAAGTCTCCCGAGGCATACGGCCACCACTACCACCACACCAGCCGGCACGCGAGGAGTCAATGGAGATGGATGATCCTGCAATTAATCATGGCCCTTCGACTTCTGCAGGCCAACCTTAATCACTGTGCGCGGGCCCAAGACCTGCTCGTCCAGAGCGTGGCCGAGTGGTCGGTACAAATAGCGGTAGTGTCGGAGCCTTATTTTGTTCCCGATAGAGACGACTGGTTGAGCGATAAGGACGAGGTGGTCGCGCTTTTTGTGCCCCGGTCCCCGAGTTCTCCGTCTTTTGGTGGGGTTCGAAGGGGCCGTGGCTACGTTAGCGCAACGGTAGCAGGAACCCTAGTCGTCGGCGTCTACTGCGCCCCGAGTTGGAGCCTCGTAGATTTCGAATCTCTACTCGACCAGGTTGGAGCGCTCGTTCGCAGAGGTCCCCGTTATGTGGTGGTGATGGGTGACTTCAATGCGAAGAGCTCCGCCTGGGGTGACGTAGTCACAAACCCTCGGGGCGCAGTACTGGAGGAATGGGCCCTGACTACGGGACTCACCGTCCTCAACCGAGGCTCAAAGCCCACCTGTGTTCGGCCACAGGGCAACTCCGTGGTGGATATTTCGTTCGCCTGCCCAGCGACGGCGAGACGGGTGTACGGGTGGGAGGTTGTGGAAGGTGTGGAGATACTCTCCGACCACCTGTACATCCGTTTCCAGATATCGGACTCGTATTTGGCTCCAGTCCATCAGGGGGCGCAGTCGCCTCACCGGGATACTCCATGGTGGGTAGTGAGGCGTCTTAACAGAGACCTGCTGATAGAAGCCGCCCTGGTTGAAACCTGGTCTCCCGCGGACACCTCCCTGGGCATAGATGAAAGGGCCGAAGAAATATGCGCATCGATGTCCCGGGTGTGTAGCGCATCGATTCCCCGGCAAGGCCCCAGACCGCAGAAAAGGGAGGTCTACTGGTGGACTGCCGAGATAGCCTCGTTACGCAGCGCGTGTGTTAGAGCTAGGCGTCAGGTCCAACGTCATCGTCGAAGGAGGCACAGGGATGAAGTGGTCGAGGAGGCCTGAACGCCTGCTACAAAGCTGCCAAAAGCGTGCTGAGCCGAGCGATACGGGAAGCTAAGGATAGGGCACGCGCGGAAATGGTCGAGTCATTGGACCTAGACCCGTGGGGCCGGCCCTATCTTATGGTTCGAGGCAAGCTCCGGAAGCAGGCTCAGCCGCTCACGCAGAGTTTGCCGCCGCAGCTGGTACAGGAAGTCGTCTCCTCCCTATTCCCGCACAGGGAGGCTCACACCCCGCCTTTCAGGGCGCCGAGGCAGGATCTCCCGGTGGATGACGAGGCCGCTCCACATGTCTCCCCTGCTGAGCTCGGGGTCGCCATGGCCAAGTTGCGAGCTAAGAGGAAGGCTCCTGGGCCGGACGGCATACCGGGCAGCGCTTGGGCATTGGCGGCCGAGTTTTATGAGGATCGGGTCAGCAAACTGATGAGTAACTGTCTCACGCAAGGGCGTTTCTCGAGGAAATGGAAGGACGGCGCCCTAGTCCTCATCGGGAAGGAAGGGAGACCGGTCGACTCCGCGGTGGCGTTTAGGCCCATCGTCCTATTGGACGAGTTGGCGAAGGTCTTCGAGCGTGTCGTCGCCAACCGCCTCACCACGCACCTGAGGGCAGTCGGACCAGACCTCGACGAGAGGCAATATGGCTTCAGGCCGGGTAGGTCCACGATTCACGCAATCCAGAGGGTGAAAAGGATAGCAGAGGAGGCCGTAGCCCAGGGAGAGGTCGTTCTCGCGGTGTCTATTGACATCGCGAACGCCTTTAATACCATCCCATCATATGAACAAAGCGATAAGATTCTCGATACGGAGTCCTCACCATTTAACGACATATGTAACACTGTACTATCTGACTATAACATCTCTAAGGACTGCATTATTGTAGCACTGAAGTCATTAGACATTTCGAAAGGAGCCGGTCCTGATGGCATACCTCCATTTTTCTTGAAGCACACTGCTGAATCCATATCCACTCCGTTACACATCTTGTATAATAAAAGCTTGCAAGAAGGTACTGTGCCAAATGTGTGGAAATTAGCAAATGTGACTCCCGTATACAAAAGCGGCAACGAGAACATTGTCTCCAACTATCGACCAATATCACTGCTGTCCACCTTGGCGAAAGTATTTGAGCGATTGATCCATAATTATATTTATCCCTGTTTTCATAACATCATTATTGAACAACAACACGGTTTCGTTAAAAAACGTTCTACAACAAGTAACCTGGTAATTTTCACTAATTTTCTTTTTGAATCAATGGACCAGCGTGTACAAGTAGATGCTGTATACACAGATTTTTGTAAGGCTTTCGACAAGCTGGACCAAGACATATTACTGCAAAAACTCGCATTTAACGGAATTAGAGGCAACTTGCTTAGATGGTTTTCATCTTATGTGAAGAACAGGTCGCAACAAGTTTGTATTAATGGCTTTACTTCTGAAGTTATTAAAGTAACTTCAGGCGTAAGTCAAGGCTCCATATTAGGCCCCTTGCTTTTTGTTATTTATATAAATGATATTGATAAATGTTTTAAACACTCGCACTTCCAATTATATGCTGACGACCTTAAAGTCTATAGTGCTATTACTTCCGATATTGACTGTGTGAAAATGCAAGAAGACCTAAATCGTTTAACAGTGTATTGTGAAAACAACAAACTACATTTAAATTTATATCTTATACAAAAAAAAAGTAAAAACATTGGTTTCACTTATTCGTTATCTAATACGCTCTTAGAAAAAGTGTCAGTAATAAGAGATCTCGGTATTTATATGGACTGTAAGCTCAATTACCATGCCCATGTAGATTATATAATCGGAAAGGCGTTTAAGTTACATGGTCTTTTAATGCGCACCTCTATCCCCTTCAAGCGACCTTTGTCCTACCTTCTTCTCTATAAGTCCCTTATACGCTCTCAATTAGAGTATGCTACACCTATCTGGAACCCTTTTTATTTAAACAGTAAAAAGCAAATTGAAGCAGTACAGCGCAAGTTTCTACGGTCTATGCATTATCGTTGTTTTCGTTCGAAGTCCTCATACAGTTCATTGTTGCTAAAATATGATTTTCTTACGCTTGACATGAGACGTAATGTCTTGGATGTTATATTGCTGCACAACATCCTAAACCATAAATTTAATTGCATAGAATTAATTAGACAAATAAAATTGCATGTGCCTGGCAGAACATGTTATTTTCGAAGCACTCGTAATAGTGTTCTGTTCGCGCTAAAACGATGTAAGACGCATGCTGGTGAGCGCGCCCCCTTATGGAGGGTGATGAGACTATACAATGATCTGCTTATTGATATAGATTTGTTCTCCACGTCATCTGCATCATTCAGGAGAAGTCTCGCGCGTGCTTTGTCTTTGTGACCTGATTTGTTTAGTTTAACTGTACGAATAGTTTTATTACTGCTTTCTTTCCTTTCTTTTTTTCTATTTGTGTATAATTGTGAACAACGGTGTTGGGTACATAATTACTAAGTCTTTGTTATGTATTATTTTGATGTATATACATTATGTAGTCGTTAGTTGTTCCGAATAAAAAAAAAAAAAATCCCCTGGAGCTGCAATGCCGAGGCCCTCCGGTATCACCGAGTGCCGGATTACCTGTTTCGCGTTGTGTCGGACTACCTATCGGGGAGGTCTGTGTGCTATAGGAGTCGAACCGGTGTTGTGGAACGTGGGATACGACTGGGTCCTGCGGGGCTCTCTCGTGGGAGGGGTTGACATCACCTGCTACGCTGACGACACCCTGATAACGGCGCGCGGTCCTTCCCCGGGAGTGCGCGATCCGTGGGACGGCGGGGGTAGCGCAGGTCGTTGCGAGGGTTAGGGCTCTTGGACTTGAGGTCTCCCTCAATAAGTCGGAAGCCATAATCTTCCACGGCCCTCGAAGAAGGCCTCCGGAGGGTATGCGTATTACGATCGGCGGGGTAGAAATACCAATCGGGCCTCAGATGAGGTACTTGGGCCTCACGCTCGATGGTAGGTGGACCTTCGAGGGCCACTTTCGCAGGTTGGGACCCAGGCTCCTACGAACAGCCGCGGCCCTCGGCAGTTTATTGTCGAACGTCGGTGGCCCGAAGGCTTTGTGTCGGCGTCTGTTTCTTGGGGTAGTCGGCTCGATTGCGCTGTACGGCGCTCCAATATGGAGTGGCGCCCTCAATCGGAGAACGGTGGACATCCTGCATCGGCCCCAAAGATCCTTGGCCATCAGGATGATCCGGGGATACCGGTCCGTCTCCTTTGAGGCGGCCTGCGCCCTGGCGGGTTCCCTGCCCTTGGTCCTTGAGGCGAACGTGCTCGCGGCGGTCCACGCGTGGCGCGAGCGGAAGGCGCTCATTGACGGGGTTCCACCGCCACGAGCGGAAGTCGAAAGATTTAGGAGGGAACGGCAGGAGGCTGCCCTGTTTAGCTGGCAATGCCGCCTTCGCCAGTCGAGCTTCGGAAAGAGGACTACCGAGGCGATCGGTCCAATTTTGGCGAGGTGGGTCGGAAGGGCGCATGGGACGGTAACCTTCCGTCTGGCGCAGGTGCTGTCGGGGCATGGCTGCTTCGGCAGTTATCTGCGTCGGATCGGGAGGGAGCCGTCTTCGGAATGCCACCACTGCGGGGTCTGCCCGAATGATACGGCCGAACATACACTGGCGGAGTGCCCGGCCTGGGCGGTTCAACAACGGGACCTGGTGGCTGCAGTTGGCGCTGACCTTTCTCTGCCGGCCATAGTTAAGACCATGGTGGATTCCCACGACGCATGGTGTGCCGTGCAGAGCTTCTGCGAGGAGGTCATCGGCCAAAAAGAGGACGCGGAAAGAAACAGGGAGGCGCTCAGCCGAGACGCTGTACGAAGCCGCCGAAGAGGGGGTAGAAGGAGGGCTTTCGCCCGAACTCACCCACCTTAACCAAAACTCGAGTGGCGGGCTAAGGGGAAGCCCGTCGCTCTAAGACAAGTGAGGATACGCTGGTTTCCTGCGCGCGTGAGGTAATAACATCAGCAGAGGCGACAGCCAGTCACAGCCGGGAAGTGTGACGAATACTCCTCAGTGTGCCCTGCTGCCCCCGCAGCACGGACGGCGAAGTGCATAAACGCATTCCCCGCGTTAACAAAAAAAAAACCTACCTACCACTATGTCACTTTGTTTTGTCTTTTCACTGTTTACACTTCACTAATGACGTTTAGAATAAATAGTTAAATTCCAAATTATATTAATTATGTTATATAGAATAAGTAGTATATACGTATGCATAGAATTAGGTATAGTATTAAGTTAGATATTAGGAGCACTGTGCCCAGGCAGTTAAAAAAAAAAAAATTATCGTATCACTACACCACACAAATATAATTGTTTTTTTTCAAGATAAATGATTACTGCAGCGTAACGGCACTAGACGGAAGAGGGCAAGGCTCAACTCGATATATTATTAACCGTCTCTCGCAATTATAACTAAATCATAGTTTGACGTTGTCAAATAATATTTGTTTTGTATTTCATTCAATGCCCTCTGCTACGGCAAATTCATAATCTAAACACTATTTTTTAGGGTAAGCCGATAGATGGCAGTAAAACCTAAGAAATTTCAACATCATTCCAATTTGACCGGCATTTTACTTCCCCTCTGTTTTATAATTATGCCCACCCATTCATCCTAAGATTCGCATTTATATTACTAGGGTACTAAGTTTAACATTAATATACTTAATAATTTTTTTTTAATGTTCAGCAGATACATAGATGGTCCTGTTCACGCGCAAATAAAAAGTATAATGTTGATTGATTGTTGTTTATGGCTAGTGCACTCCTAGACCCCGAGATACAGGCTCAGCCTAGTTCGGGGTCTGCAACATACTTCACTGTATATTATTCTAACGTGTTTTTGTGAAATAAATTTATTCTTATTCTGATAAAAATATAACTTTCGTTCTAAAAGGACTAGATGGCGCCGCGCTATTTAAATGCACGCAAGCGTTTTGTTTTACTGTTGTGTTATGATTGCGCTTAACGCTAATTAAACGACTAATCCAACCCACCTCCTTCTTATTTGTTTCATCTATACGGGTCGCGGGCTTTTTGAGTTCGTGTACAAGTCCTCTACTTTCTTATTTTATTTTCGAATAGGTTCTGTATAATGTTGGTATCACTTATAAGATATCCTCCTCGTCGACTTGTCTACTAGAGATCCCCCGACCTCTTCCACACAATCACTTCACGTTGCACCGCACTGCAGGTAAGGGGTAATAAAACAAAGTGGGAACACAATAGGAAAATTTATTCAGCCCGAAGGCAGGCATCATCTTAACTAAGAAGAAGGCACCTGTCGGCCGATGTCTGTCTAATCTGTTGACAATACTATAAATATAAATAATCGTTTGCGAGTGAACAACGTCGAGGAGAGAGGCGAGGCGGCTCGCGACCTCCATCTTATAATTTCAATGATAATTGTGTGTAAGGCGGATGCGGATGGGGCGCGGGTGGTGCGTGGTCGTGGGCGTGGGCGCGATCAGAGCGCGGCGTGG